TTTAGTATGAACAATAATTCTTATTATATTTTTTAATTACTCTAACTACAACCCAAAATAGTCTTAGAAATGAAATTTTTGGTTTTCCCAGGTTTAAGAACTTGAATTACATTAAATTTCCTTTTTTGTTGCCTATGTTATCGTGCAACAGTCTTACAAGATGAAAGTCAGTAGTTAAAAAGACATCCTTTGATACTTATAATGAAGAAAATGATATCATAAGAATTGAATACTAACTAAACTTTTTAATCTTACTAATTTAATTATTTTAAACTAGGCTATATGTTTTCCTCAAACTGTTTTTTTTTTACCAGACCTTAACAATCTACTTATTTAACATAACTTCCTTAATTATTTAAATCAATAAATAGTTGTAAAAATTATGATCCTAAAAAAGTTGTGGGTAAAATAAAAAAAATTGCATTGTGATTTCAATTTTTCCTATTCAAAACTAATAATTACAATTAGTATTGCTGTATTTGAATTTCTGAATTATTGGAGGCACTCCAAGATTACCCAATTTCCAACATATAATTTTAATTTTTGTACTCCACTAAAATAGTTGGTTTACTCATTACTCATGAAAATATCATTTAAATAGCCATTAACTGTTCAGTACCTAGTTGAATCTTGAAGTTCAAGCTTGGTGAATTTGTTCAACAATCCCCACTAAAATATGTTCTACATAGGCCTACACAAAATAACAATTAAATTCTTAATCTAGGAAAATACTTGTTTTACATACATAGAGAGTTTTCTCAGTTAATTGTCACTTGAACTCATTACATTTTTCTAGAAATGTTGTTCTCTAAAAAACAGTAATACAAAACAGATTTGCACATTTTGTATGGATCAAATCAATTCATAATGTAAGAGAAGGTTGTAATCAACATTATCACAATGTATAAAATCAAACTAAGGATATATAATCAAATCAAATCAAATCAAATCAATCTTTATTCATAATGTGTACATGAGTCATACAACGGAATAGTGTCATTTCCTTATAGCTAACAGGGCTTATAATACATATTTACAACTGGTTATACTCCTCAATTGAATAAATAGGATTTGATGTAATATAATTTTTTAACTTATTTTTAAATTTATTAACATTATTTTCTTTTTTTATTTCTTTAGGTAAAGTTCTAAAAAACTTTGCTCCTGCATATGATGGTTTTTTTGTGTAGAGTTGCAATCTGTGATGAGTGGGTATGATTTCTGATTTATTTCTGGTATTGTATGGGTGAGTTGGATGGTTTATTAATGGCTTGCTTGAATTCAAAGTTTTGTAAACCATAATTGTATCAAAAATATACTGTCCATAAACGGTAATAATTTGAAGATTTTTGAAATGCTCTCTACAGGATACTTCTTGATGAAGATTTTTAATGATCCGAATTGCTTTGTTTTGTAATTTTTGAATTTTATCAACATTTTCTTGTTTGGTGGAGCCATAAAGACAGATGCCAAATGATATATGGGAATGTATATAGGAATGGTAAATTAGTTTGAGTGTTGATTGACTACATAAATCTGCCATTTTTCTCAAGGCACATAAACCTGAATTAATTTTTGATATGATTTGTCCACATGTTCATTCCAATTTAGGTTGCCATCTATTAGTAGACCGAGAAATTTTGTGCTAAAAATTTGTTCAATAGGTTCGGAATCAATCATAACAACAGGTTCTGCTGTGGTTTTTGACTGAGCTGTTTTAAATGATATATAATTTGTTTTTTCAACATTTAGCTGTAAATTATGATTTTTGAAAAATTTAACAATATTTTCTAATTCTAGGAAAGACAAAATTTCAATTTGTTCTATTGTTTTATCTGAGATTTTTAGGTTAGTATCATCGGCGTATAAACATATACTGCTTTTCTCAGGGTTTGATAGTGAAGTTGATATATTTTTTAGATAGTATATGAAAAGAAGGGGCCCTAAAATTGATCCTTGAGGAACTCCGAATCGTACTTTTTTAAATTGTGATTTATGATTTGAAATTCTATTATCAGAACAACTATTTTCAAGTGTTGTTTTATTGGACAAACTGGAATCTATTTTCAAGGTATGAACAAAACCAATCTAATGTAGATTTGACCATCCCCAGAGATTTTAATTTACTAATAAGTAATGTATGATTTACACTATCAAATGCCTTTGACAGATCCATGAATATACCAATGCACGGGTCTCCAGCATCAATTGAGTCAATTATTGATTCTATGAAAGCAATACTTGCAGTAATTACTGATTTTCCACAGCAGAAACCATGCTGAATGTCATCTATTAAGTGGTTCTTAACTAGAAATTCTGTTAATTGAATGTAGACTGCTTTTTCATAAATTTTAGAAAATGTTGGTAACAAGGATAATGGGCGATAATTTGACGGATTTTTAACATCATTTTTTTATGTAATGGGATAATTTTTACAATTTTTAATTTATCCGGGAAGACTCCTGAGACTAAAGATGAGTTTATGAGATTACTTAAAATATAGCTGATTTCATTTTTAATGGATTTTAACAAAAATATAGGGATTTCATCATACCCACTCGAACTCTTATTTTTAAGGGAACTGATAATTTCTTCTATTTCTAATACTCCCACCTCTCTTAATCTAAACATTGGTTTCATTTCCCATTTGGCAGAATCTAATATTACATCATTACTATCTGTACAATTGTTTATTTGAGATAAATCAATGTTATTTTTTTACCACATTTACAAAGAAATCATTAAATATATTTGATACATCTGTTGGGTTACAGTAATGTTTTCCATTATGAACTAAATTAATATTTTGATTATTTTTATGGATTTTGTTTCCCACTTCCGAATTTATAATATTCCAAACTGTTTTGTTTACATTATTTGATTTTTTTATTTTACTGTCAAAATAATCTCTTTTTGCCTTTTTAACATTTTTTTTTGTAATTCAAAGATTTAACATTTCTGTCAAATTGTTATCTTTTTTACTTCTGCTTTCCCGTGTTAGTTTAACTAGTGTACTCTTTTCTTCTTTAAGTTGTAGGGAAATCCAATTGTTTTTTTGTGTTGTTTTCTTTTTTATTCTTTTCATAGGAAAAGCTGTATTAAAGTGGTACATGAAACTGTCTAGAAAATTATTGTATTTATCTTTAGCCGGCGAAAGAATTACTTCAGCCCATGGACTCATCTGATAGAAAATTTTTAAACAGATTAATGTTTTCTTCACTAAAAACTCTTTGGTCCCGGAAAAAATTTTCCCTTACAGATTTCGATTTTGGCAAAGCTATATCTAAGCATTGACCATCATGGTAAGACAATAAGGTTATTATGCTGTTTATTTTCATGAGGCTGCTTTGAGACTTTGTGACAAGGAAGTTGTCAATTGCTGTTTTTGATGTTTTAGAGATCCTAGTGGGAAATTTTACCAAGTACTCCATATTTACCCTTTTTAGCATATTTTTTAACATAGTGTGTTCCTTAGATTTAACAAGCACATCTATATTAATATCTCTGCAACAATGATACACTTAAACTTATTGCTCAAAAATTCTAAAAGTACAGTTAATCTGTCTAAAAATATTTCAGCTTTTGACTTAGGGGATCTGTAAACTGCTACAACTACTATTTCAAAATTGTTAATTAAATATTTACATATACAAAATTCAAACTGTTTTTCTTCTATTAATTTATTTTTCAAAGAGTCAGGAATTGTAACTATTTTTTGTTTCATTTCATTGGTAGATAGTAACATTACTCCACCTTTGCGTGACAGCTTCCGAGTAAAATATGACCCTACAGAATAGTATTCTATATTTTAAGCGCTCAATTTCTTCCTCTTTCATATCATGTTCTGTCAAGATAACAATATGTGCTTTTATTTCATTCAAAGTTATTTGCAAAACCTCAATTTTGGATTTCAAATGTTCAATATTCTGATGGAATAATTTAACTATAGACTTATTTTGATAATTACATTTTTGAAGTGGACTTTGAGAGAGGTGGTTTCTAGGTGGTTGAATAGGTGGTCCAGTTATGTAGGATATGTGATTAGGATGTGTGATGTGAGGTAGGGTAATCGTAGATGGAATAGTTAAAGGACGTCCGGAGGGGGTGAATGGTGAGGACTCTGAGACAAAAAATGCGTATTACTATGACTTATGGTATCGGAAGACACTGACACACTATAATGATTTGTACTACAGACATTACTGATTTCACTAGTGCTCTGCTTTTCACGACTAACACGATCACACATTTTCACTGGCAAATGATAAGGCCTGGTGATACTTGCCTGGTGATAAGGCAAAATTATAATCGCCAGCTTTATAGTGGGATTGGATATAAAATACAAAATAGTAACTGATGATCCTAATATGTGAAATATCAGTTTCTATAGTTGATCTAATTACAAACTATAATCTATAAACTGAAAAATTATTTATTGAATGAAACTGTAGTTCTGCTTTGTTTTAAGAGGGTTCCACCCGCCGGCTGGTTACCCCGTGAACATGGTTCAACAAAAAAGATCCTCGTGGCAGTATTAAATTGTTTATCGAGTTGGAATAAACTGTGAAATTTCCACAAAGATCTATCCTATGGCCCTGGATGAACTGGAACTTCGTAATTGTTTCTTTAAGTATTTACAAAATCATTTTGAAAAAACCGTAAATTAGTCTATTTCACACGTGATTTTAGCTTCTAAATAATAGTTTAACTTTAATTTATCCCCATCCTCTGCAAGCTCTGATATGTCAAGAGCACAAAAAGCACACAATCATAGGAAACAAATTAGTTGTAGTTTTAGAATGTATCGTACAGGCATAATTAGAAATTAGAAACATTAGCATGTTTAGCTGCCATCTGGAATGAAATGATATTTATTGGCACAAAACGCACAGAATATTACAGGATGTATGTACAGGTGCTTTGTCATAAAAAATTAAATTGTCGTTATACAGGTCGTCTCTTTCTTTCTAAATTGAATACAATGTGATTTTTGTTAACAGGTGGTTGGATGAATTTGCCAACAGGACCCCCGGCCAATTGTCCCCCTGGGCTGGAGTATCTTACGAGTATTGATCAGCTGTTGGTGCATCAGAAGGTTGAGCTGCTTGAAGGTAAGAACAACAAATCACAATCCATCTCATAAACTGATAAACACAAGTTAAGAGCCAGTGTTGGAATATCCAACAGATTACTTTACTTTTTGGTCCATACTGATAGAAAGCTCAAAATAAAGAAACCAAACTTTACTGCTTAGATTTTTTAATCATGTTTACAATCTATTTAAAAATATCAAGTAGCAAACTAGTTTAAAAATTATGAATGAATAATCCATTAAAATGCATAATCTACCATTGCCCAATGGATATTAGTTGTTTAACAGTTTTGAGGACAATTTTATAAGTGCAGGCATAATATGCTTCAATAAGTTATCCTCTTATAATTTAACCTTTTGCGGTTGAATGGTGAGTATAGGTTGCCGCGCGCAAATTTCCCTAACGCTCAAATTGCCAAAAATTGATGTCAAATTCTAGGTGGGGGGGGGGGGGGGAATAAACTAATATTCACAAAGACAGGCTAGGCCTACCCCTAGAACCAGCTACACTCAAATTTCTTTTCAGTAGTGCTCAGAAGGAGCCGAGAAAAATCCAGGGGTCGATACAAAGTTGTTCATGGTTTTGACTGATCAGTTCATTAAATTTAATTAAAGGCTCATAGCTCTAGAAGCTTTCAAATGCTCTAGTAGCCAAATGGTCTCAGGACCTTCAAATTGCTGGTTTGATGCCAAGTGAGATCATTATTGGATGCCATGATCCAATAACGATTTTTGGACGATTGTAATTACCGTCCCAGATGCCATTTGTCATTATGCAACCAATTGAATATAATATGCACCTAGGTCTGTCTCTGTGGTAAAGTAATGATAATTATAAACTAACATGCTGTCCACAGCTCTGGTCGGCTTTGAGACCAAAAACAAGTTTACCGTGAAGAACAGTCTGGGCCAGAAGGTGTTCTACGCCGTGGAACAGTCGGACTGCTGCTCTCGCAACTGCTGCGGCCCCATACGCCCCTTCGGCATGAAGATTCTAGACAACTACAAGAACGAGGTGATCCATCTGGAACGACCCCTCGCTTGTGACTCTTGCTGGTTCCCTTGCTGTCTCCAGGTAAACTGATTTGATAATTTTTGAATCGTAAATGAGTCCTATTATTAGCGAATTTCCCTATAGGGAAATAGCTATTACCGTAGGTAAGACCTGGAGCCGGGACCAATATATTTTTTCATTTTTATGTCCCTAGAAGCCAAAAACACCATTCGTTCAAATTTTTATGTGTGTGTGTCCGTGAACGCGATAGGCCCCCCCTAACTTAAGTAATTTTTATAAATTTTTATAATATTTTCCTATTTGTAGCTACTCAATGTCAAATGGTGTTTGCCATTGGTGTTGAATAAATAAATAAATAAATAATTTGTCTCCGATTTTGATGAAATTTGGTCTGAAAGTGTAAGGCGGAACAAACTTGAATGAGTTCGTGAATCAGCATGATCGGACCATGGTAAAAGGGTTTTATGGGGTAAAAAATGGTTTTTCTCATTTTTGGCCCTCAAAACACAAAATTTCCCAATGTATATCCAGCTTAAAACACAAATAATTTAGTATACCAAAGTGTTTTTTGTGTGGTTATTGGTTACGGAGAAAATTAAAAAAATTTATCATTTAAAATTCCCATGTTATTCTTATGGAGAATATTATAAAATGTTGTAGTTTGCTTGTTTATGGAAATATTTTGATCAAACTTAGCAAATTTAATTATTTTATAATGAGCAGCTAATATTTTACTAAAAACCACATTTTATTAGCCTCCCTGTAGCAGCAAACCTAGGTATTTGTTAAACCTAATGTTATTTAAGTAGATTTAATTTAAAATCAATTCCGGCAAGTGGAAATTCGCTTAGTCTGCAGATTTGCTGCAGCGGGGGGGGGGGGGGGGGGTATTTTTACTTACCATCTTGAGGAGTGACATTTTTTTAGACTCTGGCTTGGAATTGTTTTACTTCAGATTAGGCCAAGAGGGAGTCGAAGGATTGTCACTTAAATAAAATCATATGCTTCGTATGCTTAGTAATTAGTAATACTTCAGAAAATACATGTTTGAATTCTTTTAACTGATAAAAAGTTAATATTTACCATTCACCATTGATAAAGGTCACAATTGTTCTGTTATCAGTCTGTTTTTTGTCAACAATGATTTGGTAGTTTGTTTAGTTTCTAGCATCACTAAGTTTACATTGACCATGACTTTAGGTCAAGTCTAACAAACATTGACATAAGCTGAATACAATCAGAACAATAAGACATGCTAAACAAGTAAATAGCATCAACAATGTAACAGTTGGTACTCTATAATTCCACACTGAGTGCAGGGCCAAGTGCCGTTTGCCTAAACACTTTGACGAGGGTCATTTTACAGCCTGAGGCTTGGCGGGGCAAGTGCCAGCCAGGTATTAGCAACCGGTTCCACGGAGGGTATGGGGGTGGACAGATCGACCAGGGAGGGACGAGCAAAATATTTTTAGGGATAAAATGAAACTGTAATAACCAAACCCGACCAAAATTACTGATTATGAAAAATTTGAATGAAGGTTTACTAATCAAATCAATATTAATTTTAAATCGATATTAGGGTAGCCCAGTTAAGAAACTGTACCAGGTCTCTGTTACATCCTGCCCACTACACCCCCTTCCACTAATACCCCTCCTCAGAATCACTCTTACGCTCTGGGGAGTCAAACGGCACTCAGGCCTATCTGACGGTTTTGACAGTTTACAATCCCCACGGTAAAGAATAGAACGGCACTTGCTCCGTTTCCCTACCACACTAGAATCTTATGTTGTGTCATGATGTCTGTGTTCAGTGTAATGGTACTTGACTTTTGTTGGGACATGAATGTTGTGCCTTTCAGTTGATGTTGCCATAGCAATATGCTGTGTAATGTGAATGTTTCAGAAAATGGAAGTGTTCTCTCCCCCCGGATGTCTCGTAGGAACCGTGGAACAGGAATGGAGCATCCTTCAACCTTGCTTCAGTGTCAAGAACTCTGCCGGAGACACGGTTCTGCGTATCGAAGGTCCTGTCTGCACCTTCAGCATCTGCGGGGATGTGGAATTCAACGTATGTAAAGCGTTTTGATTCCATGCTGTTTTACGTTGCTGTGTTGGTATGTGTAGTTTTGTATTTTTTTTATTTGGTTTGAAAAATCACATGTGGTATGTATCTTCCTCATGTTGAGCGCAAGTCCTTTGGTGAGACTGGGTTTAAGATTTGGCTCACAATTTCTTCTTCTTCGCCTTTAAGAAAAAAATTTTTCATTAAAGTAAAGCTGTAAAATGTCTTGTATGAAAGGAAATATAAATTAATTGTATTTCAAAACAAATATAAATACAAAACAAATGGTAGGAAATTCAAAACAAACTAAATACCTCATAGCATTACTTAATAACAGTAATTGAGGTGGCAACCCCTCTCAATGATTAATAATGTAATAATTATACTAACTTCAGTACGTTAGAAAACATTTATTTGAAAGAAATATAACTATTTGACAAGGGATATTTTCTTCAGTTGAGAGACAAGATTTGTAAAATGTGTGTAGTGAAATAGTATCCAGGAAGTGTGGAAGTACGAAGAAATGTCGTTATTAGTTTCGTTGGAGGTGTTGTAGCGGGGGAGAATGAGTACGAATAGGGGCGCAAGGGGAATATTTTGGATTGGGACGCAGTCAATACTAGTTACGCCACTGATTTTCAGTAAGCTTGCGAATGTATTTAGCAGTAGTGGTAAAATTGTGGGATTTTCATATTGAATTGTTATGTTGATAAAAACTTTTACTATTACTTATAGTAGTGGACATCCCATTCCCATTATAAAGTAGTGGCCAGTTTTGGAATTAAAATTTAATTAGTTATATTGAACAACTGAAAATTTTGATATCAACTACTGATTTCTGTGGAATATGCCATCTCCTTTTAACTGAGCCATACTGTATTGGCAACTTGCAGTCAACTTTTTAAATTTCAGTTGATGGACTTTCCTACGCTAATGATTTTACAACACTATTTTCCGTGCGGTAAGAAAACTCCTCCTGTTTTTAAGTGACTAACAATTAATCTAAATCTACCTAAATATCCTATCCAACTTAATCTACCTAAAGTTTTTTCCACACATTGATTTCATATTACAACATTACATAACCTAAAAAACAATTTTAAAAACATAATATTACTAAAACTTAACACAACTATACACAAAACGAAACCAAAACCAAACTCAGCTATACTTATCAGTCCGAAGCTTCCAGCTGGTCTGGAAAAAAACTACAACAAACTCGTGGGCACAACCTCAAAAATCAAACTAATAAGTACAAGGGGTTGCCAGGTAGCGGAGATCTAGGAGGTGGGGTACTTCCTCTACACTAGGGGCTTGCGTCGGCTGCTGGTTCCGACCTGCCTCCATGGTGACTCACAATAACAAGACCTAGGCTTGAATTAACTTGTAACCTCCAAGAACAAACACGTTACAATGCCTATGGGTACCTGACAATGTGAACCTTTTTTCCTTCTAGAATAGTCTTGGACGCATGGATCTAACAACCCTTCCAAAACGTGATTAGATCTTACATCCTGAAACGCTGTGTACAAAACACTTCAGCCCATTCACAAAATTTAGTTGGATTATGCCGATTATGGGGAAGGTTTCCTGATTTCCCCTCTTTTCTTAGCTTATTATAATGTACATTAGCTGATCAGCTGTCGGTTGTGGTTTCATAGTTAGGGTGAAGTGGAAAGGATGGAATTGCTTCCCCTCGATCAAACCACCTGTGGCAAAGCCATAACATTTCCCAAAAGACTGTTTTTAACATATGTAATTAATACCATATGTTGTGATTATGAGAATAAAATAATGTGAGTTGTACTAGTTGAACTAATAGCAAAAAGAAAATGTTAACTGAAACTTAAATACTTTGATTGTCAAAAATAAAACTTCTTTCACGCTTCCACATTTATATATTTACTTAATTTAGAACAGAACTTATAAATCTTCGACACCGCCTAAATGTTGTGAACATAGTATAGCATAGGAAAAGTCCATAAACTAAAATTATAATAGTTATCCTTCACAATTATAAAATTAAAAACTAAGTACTGTAAACTAAGGTAATTTTTATGTCACATCAGTGATTTAAATATTGGGAAATTAAAGAGAAATGTTTTTTCAGTAGCGCACTATGTAAAAACCATTGGGCTCATTCAACAATGTTTTGGTTAAATATTAGATACGACTGGTCCAAACAGGTGGGATGTAAACTCCAGTATGCAAAGTGAATAAAGCTCTTTAAATTTGTAGGTGCTGAGCAAAGATAGTTCGACTGTCGTAGGCAGGATATCGAAGCAGTGGAGCGGACTGCTGCGTGAGGCGTTCACAGACGCAGACTACTTCGGCATCACCTTCCCCATGGATCTGGACGTTAGGATGAAGGCAGTTATGCTTGGAGCTTGCTTCCTCATTGTGAGTCGAACTTTGAAATTATTTGCGTTTTTGTGTTTTGGAAAACAAACTCAGTGTGATGAAGATGTATTGGCTGAACTTCAGGTCGCTCTGATAGTTGCCTGACCTAAATGGACTTATGGTCAATTTTGTAACTGCTAGAACATTGATTTGAAAAAGTCTACACAGTAAAAATGAAAGTTAAAAATACATTGAAAGTCAAATCAGTGGTCATCTTCCCCAAGAGATTGTGATGTCGATGAGGATTTTGGAACTATTGATGCTGGATACAACCGATCCCATAAAACATATGGGTTAAGTTGGGCTTGGTTTGGCAACTTACTTAATCCAAACTTAATTGAACCTAAGGATAATTTAAATTGGTACTCTATAGAAAAAAATTGCCACAATTACAATACTAGAAACCAGAATTTACTTATATACTCTCATCATTCTACGACATCTTTGGAAAAGAGTATTCATTACATGGGAATTAAATTGTCCAATAAACTTCCAAATCACATAAAAAGCACAGCAATGAGTCCAGCACAATTTGTAGATAATGTTAAGTGTTTTTTTATCAGAAAGGCCTATTATAAAGTTCTCGGTTTTCTAAATGACTCTCAAATATTATTAGCAGGTCCTGTTACTTCCATAACATTTTATAGGGTAAAAGTTCCTTCTCCATGTTAACCTTGTTGATTTTTAAATGTTACATATTATATATAGTTTTTTTGTTGTGAAATTTTAATGAAGACTTTGTTATTAACTACAGTCAAATGTTTTGTGCACTTTTTATGTTTTACATATTTTATAATTAAATTCTATAAATCCTGTTATTTAGTTTTAAGCTTGACATTATCTTTCTTTATTAGACCTTTTGGTTAGTCCTATACAAAGAGTTCCTCAAATGTTAAACAACTATTTGATTCATTAATATTATTACTAAATACCTTTTAAGACAGTTATTTAATTTTAAGAAAGGACATTAAGTAATATAATATTGGGCTATAAGAAGAATGAAAAGCACCTGTGCATTTATCTGTAACCTCTGTACGTTTATCTGCAAATAAACATGATTTTAAGAAACATAGAGCACAAGGGCCTAGCTTGTTTTGATTTTTTTTTTGTGGAGAGCAGGCTTACTTGAATAGGAAATAGTCCAAACTGGCACAAGAAATACAAAACTTAAGACTATATACACAATAGATTAGAATATTTCATTGTCACTGACAGCATTTTCATCTAAGGAAGATAACAGATTTTCAGGTGTAATCCTTGCTAACTATACTAAAGTTGTTAAGTTGTTCTCTTCTTGTCACTGACCTAGAGGAAATATGGATAGTTGAAGTGTGTCCTAGACCTACTACTTTGGGAGTTGTGAAAATCAAACTAAGTAAGTGCAATCGTCATAACTTTGTCTAAACTTAATTGTTGTAGTGCGCTGTACAGGTAGTTTCATCCATCTAATTTTAAAGTACCATACAACTACTAAGGGTAAATGAGGTTTTGATATTAAAATATCGCAATAACAGATAATCAATTTCTTTTGTAAAACCTTGCAGGTTTTTAAAATATGTGTAACATAGTACCAATTAAGAAACAAATCAAAGTCAGCTATATACTTAATCAATCCTTCTTTTTCAGGATGCAATGTTTTTCGAGAAGTCTGGTAATCGTGAAACGGATAGACCTGGAATGTTTTAGTTTGAAAACGCTGCTGCCAAAATAAACAGGTATCTAATAACCAACCTCATTAGAGATTTAGCTAATTAGAATTTACTAAATCTGTCCTAGTAGTGCTTAGACCTTAAAAAAGTCTTTTTTGAATTTTTTGAAATGTTGTAGCCGGAAAAACAAAGCAAAAGTGTGGGAGGAATTATTTATTGTTTACATTTAAATGTCAACACAAAGTTAAACATTGTAAATTTACTCATGCTTCTATCGAGACCAATTAATATTTACCTTTGAAAACCCGACCTCAAATCTTTGGACATCCAAGGGGCGTAGCCCGAGAGAAACTCAGGAAAGTGAATAGGCCTATGACATTCCTAGATATGTGGACCATCTTTGTACTTTGGCTGTCTGGGTTTAGTATTTTAGTCGTGACAGCTGCCGAGACAGACAGACAGACATACACCACCACAATTTTATAATAGTATAGATATAGATAGATAGATGGATATAGAAGATTAGATTAATAGGCAATCATGTTTCTTGAAAACCTTTTTTCTCAGCTCATGTGCACTGCAGGGAAAATCTACGCATACTAAATGTAAACCTGGTACTAATGTTTTTACTAAATGACAGATATTTTCCTGCAGATGAGCAGAATCCCTTTATAAATTAAAATAGACTAAAAAATAAGCACAAAAATGAATTTAAAATAAGAAAAAAATAACATTTGCCTTATAGGTTGTCATGCTGGTGACAAAATAACAGAATTTAAACAGAAAATCTAAACAAATGGAAGAAATTCAAATCACATGTTTTATTTATAGCGTGGGTGAAAATTGTAGAAGTCTGTACATTACATATTTTTGGTCGAATTTTTGACCACTGGACGACCTCTAGTATAGTATATAATAGGATTGCTTTCATAGCAATGAAAGCCAATTGAGCGGAGCAATCATGTTTTATAGTTTTTAATAAAGCAATAAATTAAAAAATATTATAGATATAATACAAAATACAAATGTTCTCACACTCCGCACTGCTAGCCTTTACTACTTCCTTCACCACTTCCTACGTTTTAGACCTGTTTCCCTCCCTTCCTATAGCATTTTAGGATTGCAAATACATTAATATAACTGCCACAAACGGTTCCCTCACTCCGCAATGCCAGCCTTTACTACTTCCTTCACAACTTCCTACGTCGTGGACTTGTTTCCCATAGCATTTTAGTATTTTAGATACAATTATCTAACTGCCACGTCACAAACCTTTCCTAAACTCTGCATTTCTCACCATTACTACTTCCTTCACCAATTCCTACACCGCGGACCAGTTTAAGTTTGCCATTTATGAGATGGATCCATGAATGTGATTTACCGACGAATTGTTTAAGATACAATGTTATTTTTTATAACCGCTGTTTAGCAACAAAAATCAAATATTCTGTTAAATACTGTACCTAAAAAAGTATGTTTTATCTATGACTGTACCTATTCGATAAGTGGTCGTTTCCAAATCGGGACTTAAATGTAAACCTTGTAAATGTAAAGACTTTCTCTGTGGTATTTGATCAGTGGTCATCATCTGAATTATTTTTCCTTTTTACTGTGAGGTTGTGGCTTGATTTTAACATAGGCTATGATTCTTTGTTTTGTTTACATTTACGTCATTATTTTGTAACCATCATGGCAAAAACTTAGAGTTACTTGAAAATTATATAGTCACTTACGTCTAAACCATCCAAACATTTGACAAAACAACCTTGGTAAGTTTGGCTAAAATATGTTCAGCCGTTATTGAGATTAAGTGTTATAAAGATTGCATTAAAGTTGATCCCAAAGATCTTCGCTTCGCTCCGCTCAATTACTATATATCAAAGTTTATAGTTTAAAAACATATGTATACATATGTACAAGTCTTTCTTCTTGAGTTAATATGGGCTCTTCGGTGCTTTTAAAGGTACAAAAAAAGTACTAAGTTAGTATTTCTTTGGCAAAGTTCGATCTAGATTGTTTTAACCTTTCCTAGAATTTTCCCTAAAAAGGCTTTTTAAATCAACTTTAGAGATGTTTAACACACTCACCATCTATCTATACTTATAAAAGGCAAAGCCCTCACTGACTCACTCACTCACTCATCACTAATTCTCTTACTTCCCATTTACCTAGGACGCTGAAATTCGGTACACTGATTCTTTAGGCATTAAATAGGAAAACTAAGTTGTTTTTATTCTGATCGGATTTTCGGGCTCCGCCCCAGTGGCTCTGGAGTTTCTAATGTTAACCTTATGATTTTTCATATTTAAAAGAAATTAATGTATCTTAACAGCTGTTTCAATTAAATAAGTTGGTTCTGATCTATGATGTTCAACAGCATTATAAAGTTACAAGATTTACCAACAGGGTGCAGCACTCTTAACTTTTTGTTTGAATTTATGATAAAAGCTAATTTGAACGAAGCAGCAACAAAAAGCTGTGATACACAATGAGATCGGTCAAATAATAAAATTGATGTAGTATTGTGTGAATAGGGTAATTTTATTTTTAAAATCATGATTCATCAACTTATTGACTTTATTTTATATTTATTCAATAAAAAAAATATATTGTGTTTGTTTTTTTTCAAAAATAATGTCTGGGAAACGGAGTAGCGTGTTAATAATTTTAGTGCATTAGGATGGAAGGAACTAATATTATAGATATGAGTGTTTGAAGTATGTCAATAACGGGAAAACTACTTGACCAATTAATTGAGCAGATTTTTGTTCATGAATAGTGCCAACATAACCATAGGCTTAGTGGAGATAGCCAATTTTTATTTTAATACCCTCCTAGGGCCCAAATACTCTCTGACAGTTTATTAAGTCCAATGTTCTTCTTTTGAAGTAACCATGAAAAGCCACTCAAAATGCCACCCAACCCTGCAATCAATAGTTGTATTAATACTTATGAAGTCAAACGGGGCAAAAGCCCGCGGGTGCAGCTAGTTGATTATAAAAGCAAAGCTCTACTGGTATCCACCATATATATATATATAGAGAGAGAAGATTATCTGTACTAGCTTTCTGTTAATATTAACACATATTTCATGATTTCAGTCCAATGCTGCTGGACTTGGACTAGTCAACTACATATTCAGAGGCCTTGGTTCGCACAATACACTAAATACAAAATACAATGCTTCTGCTCCTTTTTCTACTGCTACAATAATATTTATTCTTTGGAGTATTTACACTTATAAAGTTTACCAGTTTTAGCAAATGTATATATTTACTGTAGAAGATGAAGAAGAAGAATAGAAGAATAGAAGATGAATCTTGTTACGCTGTACTATTTTCCTGGTTCTAAAATGGTAATGTTTTTGCTTTTGTACATAAAACTATACATTGTATTTAAATGTGTTGTGTTGTAAAGATCAAGCTAAATTTTGTATTATTAGTAACTTATTACATTTGAGAGCTCATTTGCGAGAAGATTGTAAACAATTTCAAATGATATCTCGGAGTTTATATATATGACTGATTAGTTAGATCAAAATTGTAAATTTTATCTATTTACCAATAAGCTTAGTTTAAACTGATTTAACATAAGTAAATCTGTATGTGTTTCTGATCATTTGAATGTTGGAAATGAAAATATATAACAATGGAAAATCTATTTTTATGTCGTCCACAAATAGATGAGTAAGTCAATGTTTAATTATTTTTTTTGTGTGGCCTATTTGAAATTTTTTAAATACTACTGTGTCGTACACTGGTACAGCACTCTTGAAGATTATTTATTTATTTTCAAAATGTTGCATCTCACATCTTTATGTTAAAAGACAAAAAAAATACTATAAATGAAATATTATGACATTGAAAGTTTTGTATGGGAAAACAAGAACAGTAAATTTTATTAATTTGCAGCAATTGTTCAAATAACGAGTAAACCGTTTTAACATTGGTTTGCGTTTGCATTCTTTACCAAAGATGAAATACTAAACATTTAATTTTTGATGAAATATAGCCTAGTTTTCAAGACCAAATGTTGGATTAGTAACTTGCATGTCATTTATTTTAATTTTTACATTGTTTAAATTGTGTAAAAGTTAAATAACCATAAACAAGATAATACTTTGATCAATGTTTTGTTTTAAATAAGCATTTTCATTTGTTAAGAATTAAGCTATAGTTAAATGATACATCGGGTAAAACAAAAAATTATTTTAAAAATGTTAGTTGAATGTTAAACTGTTTTACAATAATTAATTGTTCCTAACATGATTTTAGATTATGTCAAACTAACCAATTTCTAAAACTTATGTCCATCCCACTCTTCATCACATTGCTAATGTTATAGATGTATTTGTATATTTATGTTTTGTTTACTATCTATTTTTAATGTTTTATGTTAAACTCGTTGAAGACTCATTTCTCAGTATGTCAATTAATAGAAAATGAATGAAATTATAGTGTTTGTCATTTTATGTAATATTATTTATATTTTTTCCTTAATCATTTGTTTAAATATTTTTTTTATTTATCGCGACTTTAATAAATCTACTGTTTTTCACCTTAATATTTGGATTGAAATGTCTTTGAAAATTTACCATTATATTCATGGGTTTGTTAATCTAAGTCCCACCAGATTGTGTAATTTAAAGTGAAGAAAAATCTAAGGGTAAACTAGATGAAGGAAAGCTTAGTTTTTGATTAATAAAACATTTACCAATTCAAAATCATAATTTACTATATTTTGGTGTTTATATGTGTCTGTTAGTGCTATTGTCAGTTGTAATAATGTTATCAAAACTAACTGTTACATATTTAATTTATTCTAGTCATTTCTGGTATACAACCAAAAGAATAATTCTTTTAAATAAAATGTGTAACTATTATTACATATTGCCCAGGTGGCTCCCATTAGGGAAAACTCTTTGTGCTCATACTAGATAACACATTTGTCATTTTTTATTTAAAATTCACATTTTTTTCTAATAGTGGTGTGGGAAGGGCACGCTAAGCTTTTAAAATATATGTTGTAATCTGTTTTCTTAAATCTTGGATGAGGGATCTATATAGGATATAGGTTATGTCCTGTAATCATGTATTTAATTTTTTTATACCGTTTTTTTCTGAACTTGAATCAAATATTTATTTTACTATTTTATGTTTAAACACCAGTTAACTTTATCTTAGTACACAATAAAATTAGTTATTAGGCCAACACTTACTCCTACTGTTAACAATAATTTTTGAGAATTTAATGAATGTTGCATGTAATATTTTTCTTCCTATATATTTATTCCTGTTAATGACAAGAAGTTAAATTACAAAAGTTTTAATAAACTAATAATTATAGTGGTGTGTTTCTTTTAAATTCCCATGTGGGCTACAAGACTGCAACAACAATTATATTAATTGGGCTTTTTTCCTTATAAAATTAAACCTGATTTCCTTGATCTTATGGATCAAAAGAACTAGTTTAATCCTATAAGGCATCTGAGTTCATGGTGTTTTTTGCCGTCAACCGCGTTGTTACTAAAAAACTATCGCCAGAAAAACTATCGGTTGATGCCGAAAAACACCATAAACTTTTATGACACTGGCTGTGAAAGCCTACGTAAGAAGACTATAACGCATGTATTAATAGCAGTTTTTGTTGCAGTATACAATGAAAAACTAGATGATTTGAATTGAACACATTGTAACTTTAGTCTGTTCATGCATATGGGTTAGGATAAATAGAGGAGTTTTAAAGTTCCTTAGTAGAAAGCTGTATTTGAAATCTGTAGATGAAATTTCAAAATATTCTTCATAACGCCTCAAAATGTTTGCCGGGCCTTTTACTGGAGAATTCCGACAAGCAAATGAAGGAAGGAGCGAATGAAGTACCTATACTAGTTTTCTGATTAGAATCTTTGTATTTAAAATATATTTTATGTAGTAAATGAGGGAAAGAACAATACACAAACCCCATACCTTTTATTAAAAAACTTTTGTATTTACATATTTTAATATACAAATTATAAATGTTTGTCCATCCAAAAGTAAAAAGAACATTTCATAAAAAGGTAAATAACTAATCCACCTTTGGGAAGCTTCTCAATACTTAAAGTACAAGATATTTGTAAAATATATTATTTGTCTTAGCAAATTAATTTTTGTATTACCCTTTGGGAAAAGACACTTTTTACTTTAGGAAAGACAGTTTCTCAAGAAAATAACTTAAAAGTTTAAATATACACAAAGAAAAACATCTTAAATATCAATTCAAAAGTCACATCCGGTATAAGCTTGGATCACAAAGATCTGCTAAAAAGTCAACATTAGAGTTTTATCAGTTAAAACTTCTCCTTGGCCTAAAGAAACTGTATACATTGTCTATAACAAAGGTCTTATTATAATCAGGAGTAGCACTGTTAATTAATTTTGCACACATTTGCCATTTTCAGTAAACATAACCAATCAGCTTAGATTTTAGCTGTGTAGATTGATAATAAACGAATATAGGCCTATTGTAAAGGATGAACAAGAAGCTATATGCAAAATTACAATCTTACTACTTTCAAATCAACTACATGATCAACCAATGGATACACAACCGAATTTGTATGGCAATTTTCAAGTTAAGAAGGGTTTTAAGAAACAGCCATGTGGCTAATTAACAACTTTTTTAAGGGATGCAAGTGAGCTGGCTTACCGTAGAAAATTAGTGTGTTTGGGAATTTAGAGAAACGCAAGAAAGTAATGTGTACAATTATTGCAAATCTGTAAGTATTTGGACTAAGGTTTTCTCAGGTAAGTCAACTAAACCCTCTCCTAAAATTTTTTAAAGTGTAATAGTGCTATTGCAAAATCAAACTTCATCTGTTTATAATCCTTCACATTATTTGTAATAATTGGTCGCATACTCGTATCTGTTAATTTAACTTTCTCCAGTCACTATACGATGCTTGTACGAAGTCGTTACTTCTTGCCGAAGAGAGGGTCGAAGGCGGTGCCAGAAGCGGGGAAGTGCCCGGCAGGCCCCGAAGGTCCGGATGGTCCTGAGGAAGATCCTCCGTGATCCGCCCACTTGGTCAGGTCCAAGGAGGGAAGAATGCCACTGCGGCATGGAACTCTGGGATTGCTGCAAAGTACCAATCATTGCATTTCGAGGTTTGGTCAAATAAATACAACTAACAAAAATACAAGCACTGAAAAGAAGTTACACTTTTTCCTAGTTTTTTGCATTTCGAGGTTTGGTCAAATAAATACAACTAACAAATATACAAGCACTGAAAAGAAGTTACACTTTTTCCTAGTTTTTAACATTTTGAGGTTTGGTCAAATAAATACAACTAACAAATATACAAGCACTGAAAAGAAGTTACACTTTTTCCTAGTTTATAGCATCCTCATGTTATACTACCAACCCTTGACCCTTTCTCCACCAAAAATCTAGAAAACCATTATTTAGTTCTCTTTTCATTAATTTAGAAAATATTTTCTCTTATTTACTTTTTATTACACCATTGTATGTATTTGTATATTTTGTTATTGTTATATTAATTTATTTTGTTGTTACTACTTTTAATTTATATTGATTTGTTTTTCTTTATTGTTACTTCTTGACAAAATTGTAGAAATTCTTTACTGTTAACAAGTTCTACTTACTTCTCCATCTTAGTAGCTATCCATCTATCTATATTATTTATTGAAACTTTGTGAACAATAATATTTTTTTTTTTTTTAGATTTAACTCTACGTATACCAAAATGTTCATCTAGGTGTGTATATTTGCAAACAAACTGTCCTTACATTTTGAAAATGTCCCTTGGGCTCTGCCCCAGTGGCTTTTAAAGTTCCCATGTTATTCTTATGAAGAACATATTTGTTTACATTATGATCAGCTGGATAATTTAATAGCTGTTCATATTTTAGTTGCAATTTAAGGAAACGTGTGCTACAAACATTTTACTGACTTGGTTGAAATGAAATATTTACTTTTTGAATTTGGGTTGGCGTTGGCGTAAATATTACAGTACAATAAAGCGAGAAAGCCTGGACAATTTGATATACTTAAAAAGAAAACTTAATTAACAGTGCGCTGTATTTCTTGAGCAGCCATTGAAAGAGCCGATTTACAAACTATGGAAACATAGGAAAGTGATAGAACACCACCAAGTAGAAGAAAAAGAAATAATGTTTTTTTTTATATTTATAATCGTAATTATGGACAAACTAATGCGGCTGTGAGTGGGAAACATTTGTAGAAAACACCAAACAAACAAGATCAGCTTTTAAAAAATGATGAGATATTTACAAGAAATGTGATTATGATTATATCAAACTGTTATGTACATCGTGAGTATTCCCATAATATTTGAGTCGACATAATCTTTAAAGTCATTGGAAATTATGACTGTTATTCGTTTTAAAGTAACGCCTGTACTACTTCGCACTTGCTCGAATTTGAGCAACAGGTACACTAGTTGGTAATTATATCAGATCATATTTCACTCCATTCTACACTCACCCGTCATAGATTAAAACTAAGACAAATTCACATTTCACATTTAAATACTTTTTCACGCAAAGTTAAGTGTTCCACTTACATTTCGTGATCTGCGAGCACCATGGGGTACACTTGAATTGTGTCGATCAAGTCTGTGTTGTCACACACCACTCTTGCCAACTTCGCCTTCCGTATCTCTTGTAGTTGCTCTGTAGGTAAAAATGTACTTCATTATTTCAAGTTAATGGATTGAATAAAATTATAATGACATTGTGCATTTCTCTCTTGCATGTTTTTGTCAGTCTTAAATAGAAACTTTTAACTTTAATTAATCGTCTTTCAAAATAAAATTTTTATTATGAGATATAGAAAGAAATGTAAAAATTTCTATCATACTATTTGTTTTACTAAAAGTATTCAACAATTTGTTTGAAAAAGTGTCTGCATTGAAAAGTCTCAAAAGCCTGATAAAATTAAAATTGTTGTAAAGTTACGCTTTGTTCACAAGATTTGCACAAGGGGTACTTAAGATAGATTAAAGAGTACTTAAAACGTGTTGTCTTGTCTTACAAAAGAGCTATTTCTTTCTTAATTACATTGAATAGATGGGGCGATTGACCATTTAGTTTTGCTGTTTATTTGACTCACAACTTTACTAGACTGGTACTATTTGGTGCATCAGGTCTTCTAAATCAACCTTTGAATCGAAAAACAGAGTAGAAGGCAGCAGAGTCTGATAAATAGCAAAAATATGAGAAGGGCTCTTATTTTATCGCAGCCTTTATTTACAATGTCTAGAATTTATGTTTAAAAGGTGAAATTTCGGGGGGAACCCATTTTTACAATAACAATCAAAGTTTCATGCAGACATTGTAAGTTGTAGAACAAAGACTCACCAGGAGTGAAGGATGATGGCTGGTTTGGTAGTTCGTACCAAAACCTGTCCCCTCGGCGAGCGTAGCTAAACTGAGTGGCGATGATGCAGCCAAAGGTTGGTCCGATCATGCTGCCCGGCAGCGGCCGCTCTGACACCCCTCCTGACCACAGGTCTACATCGGACGGGCTCCTGGTGGGCAAAGAGAGAATAATGAAAAAAATTGATTTGCTGTTCACTAGAAGTTATGCTTCTACGGTCAAAGTAGAAAATACAACTACAGAATTATATTCTTGGGGAATGATTCGGTGAAATAAAATAACTAGTTGATATTTCAAAGTTGTTGCAGTAATCTATCTTCAGGGCAAGTTAAAACCCAACTGAAACATTTTGTATTTTCTCCAGTCCAAGATAACCTAAAAAGAAAAAGATTTGAAAGTCATAACACATGTTTGAGTGTCTTGATTTAGAACTCGCATTTGTTTCTACAATATTGACAGCAATACATAATTTTTTATCATCAATTTAAATCTTATCAACTATTTTTTCTACAGCAGCTTTATAGGAATGTATTCTTCTATTTCATCTGTCTTTATTTATGCTACTATAGTTTCTATCTAATAGGTTGTTATAGATAATGATAAAATCCATACCTATTTAAACACACAGATACAGACACAGAGTAGAATATAACTTACTCGTATACAGTGGCATATCGGCTGATGGTAGTGTTAGGCATAGCTCCCATGAGTCCGTCGAAGTTGTGGGCACCAGGCAGTCCACAGAACTTCCTGTGGAATAAATGTTTCTTTCAAGATACTTGACTTAAACCATTACTGTATATCAAAATACTGTGCCTCTTTCACCATGCAGTGTAATATGTAATTAGTATAATAGGTTAATATTCCTGTAAACACATTTTGGACGAGCGATGTACAATATTTTTGCCATATTACTTTAAATTATAACCTAAAAAACTGTACAAATCCGTCATACATTTCCACCCACTAAAGGACTTAACAATCACTACTCATAACTTCAAGAAGGTTATGTTTTCATTTATTGATTTGTTGACTTATTGCCAATTATAATCAGCAGGTGTCCGGTAAAAACTCATTACAGTACAGTGGTACGTAATGAAACCCCATTTGATTAAGCAGGCTGCAAACTGCTGTTTTCCAGAGTCCGGACTAATTTCATGCACGGAAAGTCTATTAAACAGTGGAGCGTGGCGGGAAAATAGTTAACTAATTACTATCAGAGTGACAGAGTCTACAATAAGTTTTATAAGTTTTAATCGTCAACAAAAAAATTCCATAATGCACCATACAAAAAAATCCAACAAACAATTTCTTTAGTTATAGGTAATATTTTCCCCGAGGTCAGATGTTTGTACCAACCTGTACTCCATATATCCTGGAATACCAAAGTCCCTGCCTCTTTGCATGTTAAAAGACACCAAGTCCAGTCCGTGGTGATGTCCTGGCTTCTTAAACAAGTTGTTTGTTACCTGAAAGGACACAAAAGTAATGTTAGCCCTGTTTTAACATGTTCAATCTTTACTAAGGTGCGATTTCTGGTCTACAATTGCAAAACTCTAGCGAATCACTTCCAAAGTGCAGTTAGGAAATCAGTTGGTAATGCGTTCAAACCAGAGTGTGATGAATCCATTTCCTTGGCAACAATCTAAAGCTGAGAGCAAAGACAAGTGTCCAAATAAATACTCTACACCCTGATGACTGCGTGGCTTTTGATGGTTAAAAATCGATTTGCCTCACATACCATCAGTGAAAGCTTAGGGCCTAATGTGCTTAGTACTTGCGCTGTACATTTTGTAAGGTGATTCTACTTGCAATCTCAACCAATAAACCTAAGTCAAGAGAACACCCGTTTATCACGAGATATTTTATAAGCTTTTTATTTCTGAAAAACTACCTAAGTCATACATAGAAGAAACTAAAATGCAAAGGACCAATTTAATTTAATAGTATGTCAGTCTGTCTAATCGCAAAAATAGTATTGGACCACTGACAAGAAAATCCTGGGTTGGTTTAGAGAAACCAACTTTAACGTTTTTTCTCACTGTAAAAATATTATGTTTACTTTTTGAAATTAAACCAATTTTTTACAATGCAAACAAATAATACATTTCCTTTTAAAGAAAATACCTTTGCTTCCCGTCACCATAAAAACCTGTGCAGTGATCTAGAGATAGTCAAATATTGTCAAGGCCTAAGTCACATGGACAATCCAGATGCAGTAACTTTTTTGTCTTAGGACGCTAAGCACAAGCCTGCTGTTGTTTTTCACATTACTTCAGGCTAAACCTAGGGGCAATCCATTTGTGATTTGGCAGGATTTGAACCCGGGACTGAAGTTCCGCGCTCTATCCACTACACCAGCTCGCTCCCCAATGTAGTAACTGCAGTAATAAGATATAGCAAGAGGCTGGACTTGAACCAGCAATGAGGTCATCAGCTAGAGACTACACAAATTTGCCGTTTTCGGCACCGGGATTTACTCTTTTATTCTCAAGCATTCACGTGTAACCGTATTAAAACTTGTCGTCGCTTAAAAAACAATTACCTCCTGGGTCACAGAGTCGTCCATAGCTTGGGCGACTTGGTTTGTCAGACCCATGAAGTATTCATCAAACACTCCGGCTCTGTAGAGGTCGTAGGGCCTTCGGATGAGGTCAGACAGTCTTTTGGAGGCTGCAAACAATTAGGTAATTTAGCAATGGTGAAAGAAAATCTGAAACCAAAAACTTACAATATTCAAGTATTTCATGTTCATAAATTCGTAATGGGTATTTTTTTCATTCAATGCACAATACATGGTTATCTGTAAATTGTTTGATTTTGCATTCAAAGTGTTTTCCTGTATTCATGAAGTTCAAAAACCCAGTTTTGTGCGATTTGTAGAGGTCAAATCTATGAAATAACAAACCATTGTTTGTATAAAGATTCTTTCATCAAACTGTCACTGATATCATTGGTACTGGAAGAAAAATATATGTCTAAGAAAATCCACACAGTAAATTACATCGTAACCAATCAAAATAGGAGGAAATGCTAATTTCTTTTGCCACTTTTTGACTTGTCTTCTATTTGGAAAAAATTGAATTTGTACAAACTAGGTTAATTTAAAATTATACATGATCCTTCGACAAACCCTTAATGGTTAAATACATAAACCACATCAATTTTACTTTGCAAGGTAAACATAACATACATGGATCTTAAGATTTTCAAGCTAAAAAAGTTTAAAAAACTCTAGGATGATTTTTTTGTCAGAGTAAAATTTGAACTAAGCTTAAAAGAATGTTTCAACTGACCAATAAACTTGTGTGCTTTGCTCCAGCGTTCTATAGATGTAGGTAGCAGTGTGTGGCCGAAGCGGAAGGCAGCTGCAGAGAATGCATCAATCACATTGGGGTTGACGTCAGGGTCGTATCCGTCCCAATAGCCCTGGAAAATCAAGCAATTTAACTTAGAAAAGGGGGTTGGATTGATTTTTATGTGGCTAAACTATATAAACAACAAAGTAGCAAATTCTTTCAATATTTAAAAATTAATTATGTTCAGTTTTGAAGCTGAACCTGTTGAGTAGCTTTTTTTATAATGTACAAGTTACTATATATTTTATGTTTGAAATTGTTAAGTTTACCTCTTTCTGTGTTAGCAGTCCAAACTTTTCCATCACTTCCTTTCCCAGAAGTATTGGTAGAAACTCGTTGTATGTGATGTGTTGTATCTGGGCGATGACAATCCTTCGGGCCTCCTGTAAAGAAAATGTGTTTATATTTCAATATTTTTTTTATAACTAAGGATGTTTCAATAATACAATATTTCTGTAATATAAGTATATTTCCCTGATCAGTACCTATTTGGATTAGGAGGACAAGTTTTTACCACTTCACAATTCCCCAATTTATAACTTTGGTTTTAACAAATTTATAAATATCTTTACAATTATTTTAGGTAAAACAACAAAGCTAAAAAGTTCATTGTTTATATATATAACATTCTCAAAGAATTTATTGAATGATAATTTATAAACAGTTCTTAGGTTTATATTATCTGCAACAACTACTTGAACTCTAAGTCTCTTGCTCTTTACACTGGACACTCCCCACTTTTATCTTTTATGCACTTTTCACTTCATGTGTTACCCTTTTTCAAGCAAACGTCAGTCTCTGGACATACCTGGAAAAGTGTCTCATCGTCCCAGTGAGGATTGATCTGCTGCAGAGCGTGCGCCAACCTGTTGTGTTCACGAGCCCAGAGTGTGTGCATGCAAGTCAGGACTAGCTGCTCGTTCACTCGGATCTCACCTTCAATATATCAGTCAAATTTTACTGTATTCAGTATATGTGTGCTACAGGCTATAGTAGTAATGACAAGTCATGTGCAAGAACAAGGCAGAACTTGACCCATGCTTTGCAACAATGTGTGAACTTAAAATTTAAACATTATTTTAAAGTGAACATGATAAACAGCTGGTATTATTGGTAAAATCGTAAATATTGCAGTGTAGGAACACTCACTATCAAAGATTTTTCCAATTTCACTGCGATCACAGCAGATGGTAGACGTATTAAATTTTTTGCCATCCCAGAAGACAGGTAACTTATTTGGATATCAATCAAGCTCCATCATCAACAGCATCAGGTATACAGGGTGTCCCACGAGACGTGTCTCAAATTGATTACGGAAAAACGGCTTAGCATAGAAGGATGAAATAAAATTATTTTCTGCTAAATCAACCCCAAGGAATAACGTAAATATATTTTTAACTTTTTTCCAATACAGGGTGTGCCAAAAACTGAGGGTCACTAGTTTGAATCTCGGAATTTTCAAAATTTAACATATGTTATGTTATACACCATTTTAAAGGTATTTAATAGAGAAACATTTTGGCAAAAGCAGAAATTAAAGATCTTTTACCGTTTCAAAATGGTGGCAGTTTCTTTTTTTAATCTATAATTTTTTAATTCTCCGTGTTTCCTAAACCAATGCATGTAGTCCTCCTCCGGTTGAATTTTCTTACTCAATTAAGCTTTACTGTGATATGCGACAAGTAACGGTTTTTGAAATATGAAAAATATACCTTACCTTTAAAATGATGTAAAACATGACACATGTTTACATTTGAAAATTCCGAGATTCAAACTAGTGACACTGAGTTTTTGGCACAACCTGTATTGGAAAAAAGTTAAAAATATTTTTACGTTATTCCTTGGGGTTAATTTAGCGGGAAATAATTTTATTTCAGCCTTCTACGTTAAGCCGTCTTTCCGTAATCAATTTGAGACACCTCTCGTGGGACACCCTGTAGAGTGAATAAATTGCAAAACACTATATTTTTCTTACCTGCGTCGAAGCAGTACTGAGACCTGTTGGTCCTTGTGCAGCCCTCATCAGGGATGTCCAACTTAAGAGGCAGAAGATCCTTGAGTCCATACTCGGAAAACACTGGGTTCATCCTCAACTTGCCTCCAAAGCCAGATCTTAAGTGTCTGAAGTGAAAAGTACACAGTCTTACAGGATGGATATTTATCGATCAAATGTTTGTCAAAAGTTTATGAATTTTAATGGTGTGCACTGTGCACAGAGTGCAGAATACATTGAGTGAGCGCATTACAGTATTTTTCACTTTTGATTAAATTGCCCTATGAAATAGTAGGAATTTAAATTACTTATCTCAAAATTAATTTTTAAAGTTCCATTAACTTGGTGTCAAAACAATAGTCTGTTTCTCAAGACAGCTAAGTCTGTAGACCTTACAAAGGGTGACTGTGGTAGAAATACCTTAGTTTTTTTAGTATATTCTACAAAAGGAACAAGCAAAAACGAAATTTCATCAAAATTTAAAACAAATTCATTAACCATGTAAACTAATATTTTCCTGAATTGTAAAATTACCTTCTTATAGAGAGTGCACGAGCTTTTGGGTGCATGATAACTTCTCAATGACTGACTGGTCATGGGTTAGAACAGAATAAATACTACGGCTAAATGCACATAAAACTTTTTACTTTATTTTTTTACCTTGAGAACTCCTCACTGACTCCATACACAGTGTTGGCATCAATTACTCCTGTCAAAGTGTTGAATGGAGTCCTGGAACCTTAAAAACAAAATAAGGCTGGTGATTTATTTATAAATTATTACACTATTGGTCAGTGTTTGATTTGTAAGAAATGAGGTGCCGTAACTGTAACCTATTTTATGTGATTAGTACATCTCAAGGATTCAGAAAGATCCTTAATAGCTTATATTTTATTCTGAAAGTGTTCTACTCGTCTAGTTCAGTAGTCCATCCAGTGGACTTAACCTGTTTAACAATAAACCATGTCAGTAATTAATTTAGAAAGAAATAGGATGTCTTAAAATGTGTGAAAATAGTATAACATTGTTATTATATTACTACAATACATTTTTAATTACCTACTAAAACAAATCCCTAAAGTAATTTTTTGTCAACTATTTTTGGACTGCCCAATAATAGAATTTTTGCAGCTTTTACGGTACCTGATTACAAAATAAAAAATGATTACAAAATAGCTTTGAATGTTTATAAGCAAAATTAAAATCTTCTATATATTAATAGGCAAGCATGTTTCTTTAAAACCATTTTTCTCAGCTCATGTGCATCACAGAGAAAATCTATGCATACCGTTAGAAAGATATTTTCCTGTAGAAGTGCACAAACCCTTTAAAAATTTAAACAGGCTCAAATATAAGCTCAAAAAATGAATTTGGAATTTTAAAAAAATTAACATGGGCTTTGTATTTTTCATGGGTTGCCATGCTTGTGACAAAATAACAACGAAATATATACAGAAAATCAAAACAAATAGAAGAAATTCCAATCACATGTTTTATTCACAGCATGGGGTGAAATTGGGAAGCCTGTTCTACCTTTACATTCCATCCCCATGTTAAAGTTGTCACCAGTTGTGTAATTAAATTTTTCGTAGTTGATGTGAGCCACCAACAGATTGCGCTAGGTAATCTAAATGATCAATTTATGTTGAATACACAATGTTTTTTTACCAAGTCAAACTTTTTGAATGACTTATTATGAGCTATAGCAACTGTTATGGCCCATCAACTTTGTCAGCAACAAAAAATAAGGTAGACAATAGAATTTAAGACACCCATTCGGTGACTGGCTCACACAACACATGTTTTTTAATTAAAAAATGGCGACAGCTGGTCTATATAGATGGAATGTCTACTTCAGTACCGTATCCAATAGTCAATACGTGTTTTTGGTCGAGTTTTCGACCACTGGACGATCACTAGTATAATATAATTAGGTAAATCAAAGAACACTAAGTTGTATAGCAAAACAAGTAAAATCTTCCATAAAACCAAGGGTGACTGTTAAAGAGCTAAAGAAGAAACTTGAACAATTACTAAGCAGCTGACATGTAAATCAGCTGATGTGATCTTGTTTCCACTGATTGTTGCACTTACTAGAGAAAGAACACTGGTATTGTACCAGGACCTCAGAACGTTATTGTTATTGTTACCAAAGAGAAGTAAGGTGCAGAGGAAACATTCAAGTGTATGTTAAGTGTAAGTGGTGTCTAGCACTAGCCGCTGGTGTTTAGATAAAAGTCCAATAGGCTACCCCCAATACCCCTTGCCCTCATGTACTACAGCAGGAAGACCCTATGCCCTGTGTGATAGGAATTTCCACACAGTGCTCGCCGCTCAAACTCTTCCTTGCTCGACACAAGTATTTTTCCAGCATACCAGAGCACATGGCTGTCCTATATGCGAGTTTCCTCTATACCTAACTTCTTTGTATTGTTACCCAGTCTGCAGCCGGCCCTCACAGCAGGGAAGGCTCGCACAAAGTCTTGACACTTGACGTTCCACTTGCGGTAGAAGTAGTCGTCCTCAGGCACTGGGATCTCGAAGCAGTACGGGTTCTTGAGATGGGGTGGTCGGTTGCAGCACTCCTCAGGCTCGTTCTTGTTGAGAGGATCTGATGATAGGTAAAGTATTGTAAGAAATAAACTAACATTTCAGCCTACAAGAAATTGAAAGTATTTCAGAAATTTAGATCAAACGTATTTGATTGTTGAGTGTCGCCAACGGTTTCATCATAGAGTACATAGACAGATATCTTCAAAGCAGACTTGAAAACCCTTTCAGGAAAATACAATTTTACTATTATTATTTTGTAAGTTAATTTTAATTCTGACCGTTTCTCATATCTACAGATTATATCTAGCTAAGTCCAATTATGCTACTGATTGAATATAATTTTATGTTTTAGGTTTTGCAATAATTTTTTTTACATGTAAAATCTAAATCCATCTTGCTCCTGCAACAAACTTTTCTGAAGCAGTCACTTTTCACTTACTCCTGCCATTAGGTCGTTTTTGGGTTTGTTTGATATAATAGTTTCATTATTTTGATAATTAGTTAATAAGTTTGATATGTTTCTCAGCAACAAATTGTCGTGTTTTCTACACCAAACAATAATATACACTTACCATTGATTATATACTTAGAACATGTATAATAAATGCTAAAATTCATCAACAACTATCCTAATTCAACATTTGGTATAAAAACTGCCAGTGACTTGGTGCTATCTGCTGTCTATGAAAACAATATTTTTACTGATAGACCTAAACACAGAGGACAGAGACTTCTCGGTCGTGTTTCCGTCTGATCATTGATTATACACTTACCATTGATTATATACATCACAGTGTATAATTAATCAATGCTAAACGTATCTAATATTCCCATCCAACATCCCTCAGACGGTTACACAATGCTACACGTGTGGCTTAGGCTTACCTAGAGGAGTAGCAGTGAGAGTAAAGTCGTGGTCCATGAACTGTCCCCAGGCTACGATCATGACAGTGCCCGCGTGTTCGTGGAAGCCCTCGTCCGGGTGCATGGTGCGTGACACAATACGTGACATCGGCAACTGCGACCCCTTCACGCTGATCCTGGGTGCTGTCATGCCGTCGGAGAATAGCGGCCCGAGCAGTCTAGAAGACAATAGAGTAGGAAATGAACAAATGATGTCATTGTTGACATCAGCTGATCGCTGATATTCAGGACTGCTATGCATAATCTGCCATTGTATTGTCCAGAACCTAACCTCCATTTTTAGTTTTAAGATATGAATTGACATCACGACATCCAATTCTAATTGATCAAATATTTATCGATCCAGTATGAGTATAGAACCTAAAGTAAAAGTTTCACTTGATTGTTTATAGGCTAATGATTTTATTACATGTTTCGTGTATGGAAAAGTATATAAAGTTAGGTTATGCATTGTTAAAGTTTTCTAAATTAAGATAAGATTTCCGTTTATGACAATCAGTACTTATCAAAATAAAATTCGAATGATAATAATTTATTGGCAAGACTAACACAAGATGTAAACTTATTGGAACTAGTGCCAGTGCTGCTACAGTATGTTTATGTTACATACTATTCTTTTAGTTGCATACTTATAAGGCTCATACCTGGTAAAAGGTGTGTTTTTGGCACCCCATGTCGGGTGTTTGAGGTTGTTACAGAGGCCATCTGGTCGGCGGTACTTGCCTGGGCGACACTCCACGTTCGACAGAAACGAAGGACAGACTTCTCTGATCAGAGTCTTGGAGGTGTCAATCAGAGGAAGTCCCTTCTCCACCTCCTCATAGGTCAAGCCGTAGCTACAAGCAACGACAAAATTTGAGTTTTGTTAAAATAGTTAGTTTCGCGTGGACTTCATACTAAATGTTTTTACTTTAGATCCCACTATCTTTTAGATGTATTAGAGAAGACTTTTGAATTTAGTAGTTCTTGCAACTTACTGCTTGGCCAACTGAATGGAGATGTCCAACAGCAACTCTCCAACAGAAGCAACTTCGTGAGGCTTCCATTCACCCGACGGTGTTGCTACCTCTGCAACACATAATTTAGTTAAACCTCCATGAGTGGCAACCCTGAAACGGTTCCTCAATACATCTTATAAACATAAACTGTGGTATTGCTCAAAGTAAAATCTTTACAGCAATGGAATATAATGGATAGAATTGCCATGAATATGGATTACCGCAAAGTAAGTAAGTTTAAAGTACGTGTTTGTCTGTAGCCCTTGAGTTCAGTCAGAGTGTTAATGTCTTCTCTTTAATTATAAATTATTTTATGATTGAAAAGAAAGATAAACTATTATTGAATTCTAACCGAAGAGAAAGAAGATGTACTCTGTAAAATGTATCATAAAAAAATACACAAAATACATCAATGTATTGATCTGAAAAATATTCCTCGAAAGTTCTACCCACCAAAATCATGAGTTAAAATATTGATGACATACGTAATTTCCTCGCCTTTTCGGATTAATTTGAAAATTTTTTGTGCAGATGTATTACTGCCCAACTGACTGTATTACTGATGTATTGCTGTATGACTGACTTTTATAACTTACACACACTTAACTTAGGCCTGTACTTAGGCCACCGGCTGGTTACCACGTAAACATGGTCCTACAAAAAAGAACCTCGTGGCATTATTAAAGTGTTTATCGAGTTGAAATGTTGAAATAAACTGTAAAATATTCACAAAGATCCAAACTATGCACTGGCTGAACTGAAACTTCGTAATTGTTTCTTTATGTATTTACAAAATCATTTTGAAAATCTGCAAATTAGTCTTTTCACATAACTCCTAAATAATAGGTAAAAATAATAATTTTCCCCATCCATTGCAAGGTCTGATATTTTAAGAACACAAAAATCACACACTAATTATTGGAAACAATTTTTCTATAATGTTGAGAGCTTTTGCAATAGGGGCATGTTCAATCCCGAACTATATTTCAACATATATAGTCCGCCGTCTTGAATTGAAATTCAGGCTGCCGGGTAGAACCCCCTTAACGATAGTTTCTCCAAGGAAAATGAAGAACAAAAATTACCACTTGCGATTACAAGTTAATGAGTTTCCTAGTCCGTCTCTTTACGTTATTGCCCTATTGAAAGTAACGGGATGAGACCTTGGAAAACTGAGATGAAGGTTTTCTTGTTGTAGTAAAGAGAAGTTCGTCATAAGAGACATTCATGTACAATCAGGCCAGTTCATCCCAAGTAAGGACAAGGTCGCATAATGAACGTAGTCGACCGGTTCAGGTGCACTCAGAATATTGATGTTTTGATGAAAATTTGAAAAGGCTTACTGTCTTTGGCAATTGCCTTGGGGAGTCCCCAAATAATATTTGTGGATGTATAAATACTTTGTTGAATAACCAGGCAAAATAATTGTGTGTTAAATTGTTGTGTTTGTTGGTAGTATAAAGAAAGGCAAGACTATTTGAAAGGCAATACTAGTTGAAAGGCAAAAATACCTAGTTTAAAGGCAATAATAGTTTGAAGGGCAAGAAAGGTAGCACTGACTTTTGGAAACGACGCTCTATTCATTATTCATAGTTGAAGAATATCCCCCCAACCCCCCTATTACCTTAAAAGAGTCTTGTGCAAATCATATTAGGGATACATGTGTAAGAGCGCTATGTAACCAAACATGATCAATGATTTTATTTAGAACTTAAAATAAAATTACGGCATACATTTTATGAACAAAGTTTTATGTTTATTTATAACATGTGGGGCAAAGTTCGTGAAAATAAATAGCTTCTAGGATACATATGGGATTAAGAAGAGTTCTGACAAATAGCCGATTTACCAACCTTAACCACTGCCAACCCTCCGACACAAAATCATTGCCTCGATGTACTTTCATTGGTCCACTTCGCTTTTGTAAGCTTACACAACAGTTGGCAGAACTGCCGAGTCATCTTGGCCCAGTGTATAGCATGTAACATGTATTATACGTTTTATACTCTATGTCACTTACGTATCCGCTTCCTCGCCTCCAGGTACGCCTGATTGATGGCGTCATACGTGATGCAGGATCCACTTCCGCCTCTCCCGCTGCAACAAGGGTGCCAACTTTACAACTAGGTCACGTCTTTCGTGTTACACGCATGCCAACACGATAAAAGAGCAGCGATATACATGATTTACATGGGCCATTTACCTGATCGGTTTCACGTGAAATGTTTTGCCGCGTTATCTGCTTGTTTGTGGAGTTTGGCTTAACGACTGACAGGACCGACGCGATGTTTGGTTGAAAATATAGATGGAAGAGAAGGGGTTCGGATAGTAAGTTTTGAAATTATTTATGCAGAAAGAGGTTTACGAATTTGAAATATAATTTATGCATAGTGAATCAAGAAAAGCCATGTTCTGTACACAAATATTCGGTTTTGAAACCCTCGAAGTAACGAGTCTCAACAGCAAACAAACCAAAGTTGATTGTACTGGTCTAATATTAATTTTTAAACTCGCAATTGAAATTTGAATATGAACTGGAGGCCCCAACGCCGGGTCAAATAATCAACATGCTGTTTTCTACGCATCCAAAGATTTGTTTACAATCATGATTCAGTAGAACAATTATACATTTTTATAGATAGGTTTAAATCGGGATTTTGAACATGACGCTTTCTTTTGTCACGAGTTGAAACAAGGATATATAAATTACTAGTTAGGTATACCTATAGTTACATATTTTTTCATTTCTGTCTTGACTCAAAACCAATGAATTTCGACACAATGATAGCTACTGTGCCAAGGAGTATCTTAGTAACATTTCCTAGAATCTTAGACTTGAAGTTCTAGGGTTTTGCGCTAGGCCTTTGAAGTTGCGTGGGATTTAAAAAAAAGTTAATACAAACCGATCACAATGACTACAAAACCAACTCGTACAGTATTCAAATTAAAAAAAAAAAATACAAATTTTACTACGCCACTAATTGGAAATAACCAACCAAAAGAATAGTGTGCAGCTAGTATGATCAATTCAAGGGTAGGATCTACTGTTTTAAAAGTTTCTTTAAACCCATCATAGTTTCTTCTGCGTTCCCACCCCGGTACAAGGTACAGAATAACCATTAACAATGCAAAGGATGACAATGAATAACAATCCAATAAATGTATCGACTTACAAGGGTCCCCCGTGTATGGTGTTGGTGTGAAAGTCGAACCCACTGTTCCGACCTCTACCGTCGAGCCGGAGGGCACACTCGCCTCCGCCCTCACTAGGGTTGAACTGGATGGCGACACCCTTGCTGAAGAGCACGGCCGTGGCCGCCCACCAGGATATCATTCTGTTGACAAAAAAGCAGAGTAAATAATCGTTGTTCTAAATCGATAAATAGCTTAGTAGTCAATCAAAAATTGTAGATTGTCACAGCTTTTACTCGTTGTTGAAGTGGATGACCGAATTTTCGGCACCTCTGTGTCATCGTAGTCGTAGAAGACATCAAGATGGATTATTTTATCCCTGAAGAATTATGATTGAAGGATCCCTGAAGAGACTTGATAGAAGCTGAAACCCGAAACCCACTTCAAGGATGAATCAGATGTGAAAATTTTGTATGTGTCTTAGTTTCGTTGTCTTATGTCTAAATAGCTTTATGGTGAGTCGTATGATCTTAATGTAGTATTTAGTTACTTTAGCGTTTCATTGTTTTTGTGTTTAATATAAAAATGTCTCAGTATCTTCTCAAGTGTATTTTTGGCAAACTAGCTTAATAAATTAGTGTAAAAATGCCCTCATAACAGACTTTAAGTTAGTTTATTTCAAATTGTTGTAGAGGCCTAAAATTTCAAGACACGATAGCCCATGTTTTGCATGATCATCTGCTGATTTCGCCAGGTTGGTCCTAAAATACCATATCATAAAATATGTTAAGGGTCCCCAAATTATTATATGGTAGGTACGAATGGTAAATTCTCAATTTGGGGTTCAGCATTCGTCAAAATAATAACGAAACTTCCCAACTTTATCGGCTGCTATACAACAAATCTAGAATAACAGAGCACTTGCTCCTAAAAAATCACTAGCGTAGTTGTGTTAACATATTACGTACATTTAAACTGGGTCTACAAAACTGCTCTCGTGAAAAAATAAACACAGTTTTCATCTATTCTACGAATCTAGTAATAATGTCATTTTTTAAACCCCAAACAGAGTAGTAACAGCAGCAAGGGATCATGATCACATTTCAACCGCACTACTTTGTTGCAGGCTATTAGCTTGATTGAATCATTTATCCATTACGGCGAGCAGACAACAATGGCGTTTCAGCTGAACATCTCATCAACATGTAAATGACGGTTGCGTAACATTGTTGCAGCGATGCTGTCAGTTCCCGGAAGATACGTCCGTGGGATTGCAGTTACGGGAGCAGTTCTAATGTTGAGGTCAGTGATTACTGTTTTAATTGTCCTCAACGCTCGTAAGTCTACTCGAGTCTACTCGAGTCTACTCGCAAGTCTAGTCGCCTGCCTAACGTCGATTCATATTTAAATAGACCCTTTTCGTCGTCCACTTTCGTTTCTGGGTGAGTGTCATAGATCTATGTCAAGGACTTCTGTTAGACATGTGCTAGACGTCTTGACAGTTGCAGCTTAGTTGCAGCATGAAGACTGTCTTGGTAGCCGATAGTTCAAATCCAAAGGTAGCTCGGTAGCTGGTTCGATTAAGATAGGTTCGATTTGTCATTGGGCATAGTGATGGTTCTTCCCAACAAAACGTCCTTTAGATAGTGAAAAGACCAGGATATGGACAGTTCACACAAAAACCTTTAAAAGTCCTATTAGCGTAGAAGAACAGAACACAAAAAATTAAATAAAGGGTAACACGATCTTACCCTTACCGGTAGCAGAAGGATTCCTGGGTAGCGGAAGCCTGGGTTTGTACTGTAGTACAAAAGACACTTTATCTTTAAGAAAACGGAGTACCGTGGGCTAGCCAGTGGCACTGGCAACGATAGCAACTCAGGCTACAACTACTACTTTTTTTTAGTAGTCGTTACATTGTTGGTCAGTGATAACAGCGAAAATATCTTGAGCTGGTCTCGAACTGGTAATATCTGGAATATGATCAGCCCAAGAGGCTTTTACTGAGCTACTGTCTTCATGATCTATATATATAAATGCCCGTTAATTAAGGTATCATCTCTAACAAAACCTACAGTGAAGCATACATTCAATTCTCACGTTAAAGTTGGGGCTAGTTTCATAAGAAAAAGCATGACTCCATTAATAACAATCTTTTCAGTCAATGAGTCCTATATTTCTCATGTTCTCGTCACGTTCTGGGTTAACCCAAGTCATTAATTGACCTTCATAGCTTCATAAATTGAAATTTCATAAATCATCTTCAAAGGAAACCCCAAAGTGATTGAAAATGTGTTTCTTCGACTTCCCGTAAATTGTCGGCGATTGCTAGCCCAAAAGTCAACCTTCTAACCATTAAATTCGTGATCATAATATCTGGCAACTCATTGGTTAGCTCATTAATTTCGCCTCAAGAAGAGACTTCCCTACTACTCAAAAACGTAATCTATTAGACTAGAGGACCCAGTATTTTACAGACTTGTAGGTCAATGTCAAATACTGTACATTGTTTGGCCTAAATGCCTACACTTAGTGGCTTTGAGCCAAGGAGAAGGAGACAAAACTCCGAATGACAAACCCACAGCCTCACTAATCTCTTCATATTTCCATTATGCAGATGTGTGGCTTTGGCTTAGCATATCTTTTCGTTTCCATATTTTCTCGTAGCTTTCTCCCCTGACCCTATAATCTTGGGTGTCGATAAATTATTAGACAGAATCGACTGGCCGTACTCCCACATGGATACGTAATTGTGAACTAAATGATTGATTTATTTTTCGTCCCGCAGAGTATGCAGTTACTTTTGTTACGTTGGAAATAATAATAAAAGCTGCACTCATAACGAACTAACTAAATATTTAATAACTAGCTGAGTACCCGTCCTTCGTACGGGGTCGGTATACAATGCTTATTGTAGTTAAATACTCGTGATTTGCATTTGCAATGAGAGAGGACACGTTTTGAGAAAATTTGGTTTACTATTACCGTATACTATAGTATATAGAACATCTACCATAGCCATAATGTTCTACCACTTCACCTAAACAATAGAAAGAAGTAAAGTTCTCATATTCAGGTTTTTGTTGTTGCTTGGTTCAAATTTAGCTGTTGTCATAAATGTATAAAAACCTAATGGTGTTGCACCCTGTTGGTAAACCGTATAACCTTTTAATGCTATTGAATATCATAGAAACAAATTGGGTAGTTGAAACAGCTGGCAAAATTATTTAATTCCTTTTAAATAATATTATGAATACTCATAAGGTTAACATGGGAAACTCTAGAGCCGCTGGGGCGGAGCCCGAAAGGATTTTTGAGGTAAGAATATGTCTATATGTTAATCGGGAATGTGATCTATCATCATACCAAATTTCAACACAATCCGACTAGTAGTTAATGCGTGATTGAACTTCAAACAAACAAACAAACAAACAAGCAAACAAATAATCAAACAAACACACAAACATTCACATTTATAATATTAGTATGATCATAGATGAAACATACTCCCTTAGGTATGATTAATCAGCCTACCATATCACAAATCCGTTGTTTTCAAAGCATTAAGAACTGACTATTATTTAACTGGTAGAACGAATAAAGTCTTTATCAATATGTTTTCTGTGAACCGCCTGGAAACATACGGTAATAATCTGAATCCGGAAAACAATTCAGGCTACAAATTTAGACAATTTTAAAATGTAAAGGATGATCACATACTAATTGCATTAATGCATTTTCTTGGTTACATTTAATTGGGTTCCAAATTTGGGCTTTTTGATAATCATTAATTCGAGATTCTGTGCTTTTCTTGCAATATTCCTTTTTCATATATTTTACTCGTTTTCTAGTTTCATAATCACTTAACGGCTCAAAAGCTGAAGTAGAACACCAAATTATAACGTTCGCGTGATCAGATTAATTTCATAAAACACTATTTGTTTGACAATAGCCTATTAGTTAAATTTGATAAATTTGCACATGTTATAAATCCGTCCAAGTTTTCAGATCTATTCCATATGAGTAAAGGTACAACGACACAGGCTCCGGTGAGAGGCACTTACCTTTCAAAATTGAAACCGTGTATAACATTCTCCCATAGGGAACTCTCTCTTTTGATTTATTTTATTCCAATAATAAAATCGACCTAGTTTGCAAGCCTTTCTTTAGCGAGCTGCCCTTGCTTCGAGCTGACATTTGAGTTGACCGACTTGTCCGCAATGTCAAGAGCTGAAACATCGGCGAAACTATTCCAAGATGAGGATGGCACAAACAGGTTCCCGCGTCAGATGGCCGCCGACCTTCACCAGTGAAAGCCCAAGTGAAAGTCCTTCTAAAGTACCATCCTTGGAAGTCTTACATCCAGCCTGAAAACATCTAAAACTCTTCTCCAGGAGCGAGGGCTACCACGATCAAATGATTCGATAGCTGAGTAGACGTTGTCACTAAAGAGGTAGATTGTGAAGATGGGCCGCATTGTACGAAGATGAGAAACTAATTCAAATCAAACAATGTGACTTGTATGAACTAGATCTGAGGGGTTTTCGGGGAGGAGTTAAATAAATTCAACACACCCAACTTTGAATAAAATTAAACTATACCCAACCGATAGGCCATACTAGACAATAAAAGAATTCGTAGAGTAACACACATACCGTACTCAAACATAAATACCCCCGCCGCAGCAAACCTGCAGACTAAGCGAATTTCCATTTGCCTGATTGGATTTACACTAAAATGTCTCCTTAAAAATATCACATTTATTCCCTATTTAAATAACATTAGTTTAACGAGTACTTAGGTTTGCTGCAAAAGGGAGGGTAAAAAGGTGTTTTTTTTTTTGTAAAATGTTAATAGTTTAGTATGAAATGAATTCATTTCCCAAATTTGATCAAAATATGATCATAAACAAGCAAACTACAACAGTTTACTTATTCTCCATAAGAATAACATGGGAATTTTAAATTTACAGTTTTTTGGAATTTTCTCCGTAACCATTAGGCGCATACTAACGCTTCTATAAACTAAATTATTTGTTTTTTTAAGCTCTACAAAATGGTTTAAAGAGAAAATGCTAAATTTAAAGTTTTTAGGGTAAAAAATGGGAAAAACCAAATTTTGCCCCATAAAACCCCCCATAAACCCCTGTTCCCATAGTCCGATCATGCTGGTTCGCGAACTCGTTCGAATAAACGTAGGTTTA